GAAAAGCTATCTTTGGAAAAGGAGAAAAAACAGTCAATGGGATTAGACTTTCTTAAAAGAATAAAAAGTATAGCTAAAAATAAGACCCAGATTTATAGTATACACATAGCTTTACCCCAAAAAGACCAAACATTAGATAAGTTGTTTTAGAATTCCCCTTGCTATACATGTTTTCCTACAAAGTAGTACATGTGTGGTTGTCCTGTTGTGACACTCAGTGCTTTCAAGCTCTTAGTAGTCCAGGGGCTCTCAGTCACTCTGCCTACCAAATACCATCGGGGTCACCCAGTCCTAAGAAATTAATGAATTCTAGAGCTCAGGGAAATAAGGTGCATCCTCTGAGATTTCCCCTCTTGTTTTCCACAGGATTATGTTTTTATTTTTAAGGTCTCATTTACTTGTAAATTCTAACAGTCCTTCTGAAAGCTTAGGGAGGCTGTTGGGAGGATCAATGTGAGGGTGAATTAATGGGCATTCATATGAAAGGTAACCAGTAATATCATAGGGAAAGGGAAACTGTACATGAAATAAGCATATGTTAAAAATGTGAGGAATACTACAAAAAAGGGGGCAATAGCTATGGAAACGAGAGAAGGGAAGTATTATAAATGGCCAAACAAAAGTATTGCAATTCAGCCTTGGAAAGGTAAGTAAAGATGAGGCTAAATTCTACCAGCCTTAGAAAGGCCACCATGTCTCTACACATAGTAGGGGAGTCTCAAAAGAAATGGGCAACTTGGTTAATGAAACCAGGTTGGAATGTTTGCCTGACTAAGCTCTCCAGTGCTTTGGGATATTCAAAGTATCACTGAAGTCTCAAGGGAGATGCTAAAGCTATCAAGAAGACATTACAAAAACATCCTTAGCTTCATGGAAGCTTGTCCCTTAATTAGTACAAACTAAACATATTAATAAACAGTATCCAAAGCTTTTCTTATATAAAGTATCTATAATACTCAGCATCTCTGAAGCCACAATTCTATTTTTGGGCAGGAATGAATAATTACTTCATTAGGTTTTGCACAATTGGTAAAGATGCCAAAAGATGAAGAAAAACGTTGACAAAATCTATCAAGTACTGTAATTTTTCTTCATATGGCCTTATTTTATTTCCATTGGACCACAGACTGTAAGCCACTGATTTGAGCTCCTATCTTAACATTTAACAATCCCTCATTTAATCTCTTCTACTAACAGTCTAGGCCCTCACTTGCCCCACAGTCTTTCCCATGAAACACCTTTAAATTTTAAGGCACCTGAAGCAGCCTAGTTCATATGTAAGCATGGATATTCTTGACAGGGATGAAAGAGGAGATAGCAATTGAATGTGTCATGTAATGCACTGAAAAACACATGCAAATACATACCCAGCATTTATCTCATCTTTCTCATTTTAAATAATTCAACTGAAGATAAAGAAATACCCTTTAATTTACATGAAACAGCTAGTAAAAATACTGGTCAGGGATTTCCAAGATTCATAGCCAGAAGTGAGAAATTTTGTCTAGGATTTTATGCAAATACTGGACCTCTAAAAAAAGAGTTTTCAGTGTGTGCTTTCAGTCAAAACACCTCTTTCCCAACTCTAGCACTGACCAGGCCCACCCTTACTCCACTAAATTTAACCAATCAAACTTAACTATCAAACATTTCATCAAAAGAAGTTTGTATTATGATAATGTACCCTTAACATTAGACACACACTTTATTGTTTATGCAGGAAAGGGTGATGGTTATAGGTTTGACAACACCCAAATTTGACTAGCAAAGTCAAAGTACTAGAACAACCACTTGAAATTTTAAAAAGAAACATGAAAAGAATATTATTGTACAACCAATATAAAATACTCATCTCTCTTAAAGAGACCTCTATTAACATAGCAAAAGAAGCTTGTTTAAAATACAATATATGAAATCTGAAGGCCAGTGAAAGTCCTCACCAACATAAGAAAATCTGGCATTAATGTGACTTCAATAGCACATGAGTAGTTGAGGCTCAAAAAATGAAGTGGATTCCAGAGCATGCATGGCTCTTTTGCTCAAATCAGGAGAAAAGGAACAGAAAAGAGTGAACAATTCCTTAAAAACTCTAAATAAGAAAAGGAGAGTGGCTTTCCCTTGACCAACTTCCAACAATTAACAATGTGTTTTTCATTTAATGGGAATAGATGAAGTTCTGAGGGCCTAAGGATCAATTAGATCACTAAAAGGCAGCAGGTTTTAGCCAAAACCACAGGTTGCATCCCTGAAGTATTCCATCATACCTAGAAATCTCTGGCATCTTGAAATTTTTAAAGAATACTCCTAATATTTTTTATTAACAATGAAATATACATTTTAAGGAGGCAAAACAGCACAGTGGCTAAAAGTCCAGGCCCACTTAGTCACCTATGGATTCAATTTCTCACCATAGACAGAAACAAAATATATGAATTACTATTACCATACTGTAGAAGAATTTCCATAAGTTTTTTTGATATCAAAAAGAAAGCAAAGTGTTTTCTCTCCTTAAACATGACCTTTCCAGACAGTCTAAGCCATTTAACTTGGGAGCAGGAAAATACATGAGCCTAGATTAATCTTTACCAATTTCCACTGCACTGTTTATAATCCAAAGCCACCTTTTAAAAACGTATAGGTCACTGCTTATATTAAAGTGACAAAAAATGAAATTAAATATTTCTTATCAATAGTGATCCTCTATTGTATTGTCAGAGATGGAATTCCAAATCACAGCTCAAGCTTTTAGTCAAATTGACAATTACAATGCAAATACTCAAGCTCTGGTTTCTCAAGAATAGGGGTGGGAAACAATCTTCCCCTCCCTCTTTCTTTGTAATTTTGTGCATTCTGCAAAGAGAGAAGAAAATAAGTATGGAAAATTTCTCTAATTTTCTCTTGCAAAAAAGAACAATTGTCTCTTCAGTACTATTCTTATGCTCACCAGATGTAATTTGCTTTGAGAACAAATGTATAAAAATCAAGGTTAAAAAAAAGGCTACCCACATGCTGTATCTAATTATTCAACAAAGTATCCTCTTCAAAGTAATTACCAACCAACAAGAGTATGTCTCCCTTTGTGAAATGGAAGAAAATGGAATTTTAGAAAACAATAGCAGATTTTTCCATCAGCTTGCATTAAATTTCAGGGTTGCCATTTTTGTTTCTAATTTCAACTAGTGATATCTCCTAATATTTTAAAAAAATGTCAATTAAGAAAAGTTAGTGATCTATAAGCATATGTAAGTGAATTTTTAGAACTTTTAGAGAAATTATTTCATAAATGAAAAAAATTTTCCATTTGATTTTAATCTTTTGGTTTTCGTTTTGTTTCTACTATAATTTTATACTTTATGTTTAGATCTAAGAAATATTTAAAAGGAATTCTAACAAATTAATTTTCTAAATGATAGTAATGAAATATAACCAATGTAATAAAACAAGAATCCATGAGTCCACACAATAAGAAGTTCTTTCTTCCTTATGGATTCCATAAATGTAGAAAGAATGAAGGAATTAAAAAAAAAAGTACCATTTGCCACCATTTATATTAATAATTATTTCAGGTAAGAATCAACAATAGATACTAAAATTAGTGGGTGAAAATATGATGGAAACAGGGTATTTTCAAGTCTCAGAGAGTATTCCCATGAAATAAAGAATTAGAAAGGAAAAATAGTAACTTTACAGTGGAGAAGCCTGGTCAGTTACACCATAACCAAATGTTCAGTTTTTACCAGTAATAATAAATCAACATTACATGACTCCTGATACACTATAGGGAGGAAGCAATACCAATTATCTGGGTTTTCTAACAAAAGCCCATAACCTGAATCTATCTAGTCATGAGGAAACAGCAAGAAATCCAAAATGAAAGCCATTCCACCAAATAAATTTCTAACACCCTAAAAAGTCATCCTTCATGACAACTGAAAAACAGTTTTAGATTAAAGGATACTAAAAAGATATGACAACTAAATGCTATGTGTGACCCTACATTTTACCCTGAACCAGAAGGACACAATTGTAGCAAAATTTGAATAAGATGACAGTATTATATTGATGTTAATTTCCTGATTTGGGTCATTGTGCTCTGATTATACCACATTATTTAGATGTAAAAGTATTTACATCATGTCTGCAACTTACTCAAAAAAATTTCAGAAAAAAATACATATATATACGGATGTGCACAGAAAAAATGATAAGGTCTGATAAAATATGACTAATGAGGGAATCTAGGGGAAGGTTATATAGAAATCCTTTGTTCTAATTATCAACTGTATCATAAGTCTAAAATTTCAAAATAAAAAAAAAAAAAACCTAAGGGGTAACCATTCTCTGCTTTGAATTGGTTTGATGATAATCTAATTCAGGAGTTGACAAACTTTTTCTGTAAAGAGCCAAACTGTCAATACTTTGGGCCTTGCGGGCCATATGTCACTTTCACAACTACTTAACTCTGCCATTGTGTCATGTAAGCACTCACAGAAAATATGTAAAGGAATAAGAGTGGCCACGCTCCAGTAAGACTTTATTTACAAAAATAGACAGTGGGCCAGAGTCAATCTGTAGCCCATAGTTTGATGACCCCTGGAAGCTGATTATCCAACATCTGGTCCATGCCCAGAAAAATTAATCAGAGTATACTTTCAGTTAATGTTTTTTGAGTACATGCCAGACACTATGTTAAGAGCCTTACTGGCATTAACTCATTTATCCTCTCACTAATCTGATTAGGTAGATGCTATTATTATTGCCATTTTCCACAGAGGAAACTATTGCCTAGAGAAGTTAAGGAATTTGCCCAAGGTCACACAGATAGAAAGTACGAAACCAGGTAGGTCTAATTCTGTACACTGACCTATAACCAATATTCTATACTTCTCATATGAATTATACTGTCACATGTAACAACCAAGGAATTACAACCACTTTAACATGGCTAAATAACTATCCAAATTCAACATTTATATCCCAAGAAAGTATTTCTCACAAACCTCCTGCAGCTTCAAGGACATAATTCCCAGTTGATCCTGACGTCTTTCTACCAGCTCTCTTTCTGTGCGCATCTCTCTTTCAATTTCCTGAAGCCGCTGCTCCACCCGATCTGAAACCTAAATATGAATAAAAAGAAACCATGACATTATAGAGCTTGTAAGCAAAAAAGAGACTAAATTGAGGAGATAGTTTATACCAGATATACTACTGCTCAAAGCATTTAATATTAGAGCTTGTTTGTAGAGGGCTTTCTAATGACACTTATAAAACAGCTGAAAAAAATTAACTGTAAGTTATGAAAGAAAATAGTCATTAGTCTCTAAATAATCCACACCTGGATCCCAATAATGACCTTGAATTTTTTAAAGTACATTATAATAATTCAATAGAACAGTTACAAGGCATACACTAGAAAAGAGTGCCCTCTGGTGAGTTCAAAGGAAAATACCAATTTCGCCAAATGTTGCATTTATTACCCAATTAATGATAAACTGTTCTATCTAATTAGTTCTTTTTCGTTTTTATTATCCATGTGTATGATCTGCCTCATCAGGTATTTATGTTTATGTGCAGTAAATAATTAGAAGGGCTTTATATTAGCTTGTCAATCTTTTCTACTGTGATCTACTAAAAATAAATGAGCTGTAAAAGATCAAAAACTAAAGTCAAACTCAAAAATGTTTAATTGGGACTCTCTAAAATAAACATGAAAGAATTTCTCTCTCTGACACAAAATTTTCATTACTAAAAGTTGTGCAAATTCAAACACATCTCATGTATATCAATATACGTTTGGCTCACTAAATAAAATTTACACTACTTGACAATGTGTATGTTTGGTGCAGGAAAACACAGTGAATAGAAGACATTTTGTACTCATATAAGAGAAGCAATAAATATAGCCCTGTAATAAGAAATCTTTTGCCACCAATTCTGTATTTGACAGAGTCAAGAAAGGTCCTGGTGATGAAGGACCTTCATGGAATGAAGGATATAGTTATAAAAATGGCAAAATAACAAGAATAAAAATTAGAATGGCTTTTAAGGTCAGTATTTAATGAAGTTAAAGAAAAGCAAAAGCATTCTGTTTAGTGGATTATATTCCAGCTTTTCTATATGTTGATTCCTCAAATCTTTAAAAATACCTGATGGTTTAAAATCCATTTAAATAAATATTTGCTATATATCCTACTGTTGTAATCTATGCAATAACTGTGTTATCCTAAATGCAGTGTTGACAGAATTGTTACAATTCTATTAATGATTATCCCTTCCAAAAACAGCTGAACTCATGTTTATATTTTTAATCGTGACCCTCTAATAGAAAACTAAAACAAAATTCACTTTTTTCTCCATAAATAATCAAACAGAGTATCAAACACAATATGCACTCATACTACACTCAACTGAGTAAAATCTAGGCAACTAATGAACTGAAATTTCCCCTATGGTAATGAGTTATACGCAACATCAACTGTTTAGCACCACAATTAAGTATTAACAGAAAATATATACCATAACACTATGCTAAAAACAATAACTATTCCCTTCCAAAGGACAATCTGAAATAAACGAAAAAATCTATGATTCACAAAGGATCAACAAATCAGATTTTGGCATGTGTGGCAGCAACCAATACTTTTTGCCTCTCAAAGAAAAATGCGTTCCATAAACTTTTAAGATATATTTTAGTTACTGAGAAATGCATGATAAACAACTTTTGCCTCAGAATAATATATAATAAATGTGATTAACAGTGGTTACCAGTAGAAAGTGAAATTGGTGAGAGATAGGGGCAGTCATTTATTTTCACTTTATATATTTGTGCAATATTTAAAAGTTTTCCACAGTGAATGAATGTGCATCACTTTGGTAATTTTACTTTAAACTTAAATCTGAAGGGGGAAAACAGCTGCAGCCTCTGAGAAGCTTAACACTAAAATAATGAAACTGTATTTTCTCTGGCAGCAAGCTATCATGAATTGACAAATACAACACAATATGTCAACCAGTTATAAAATGTAAATGTTGACTTCAATTGGAATAAATGAATCACAAAATCTATATTAAGCCCTCTACAAACTGGAAGCAAACATCATGTGGCCTTCAAAAGACCTTATAAAATTCAACAATATTATTTTTAAGTTTTGCATGAGACAATTGTTTCTTAATTAGGACTACACACACACACGTGAGGTCTGAGACGGCCTCTATGCAGTTATGAGACAACCTTACTGTGTAGACAGCAAATTACAGAAAGCACAAAACAAGCTGTAACAACACAACTTGATGTGAGAAACTGGCATGTGAACAATTCAACTGAGTGCACAATTAGGTGAGTACAATTTTCCAGGTTTAGACAATATAAAAGGTTGCGCCCTAATGAGCTGGGGACACTGGAAAATTGGGTAAACTAGATAGTTGTATATACCAATTACAGTAATGAGCTGAACACCAGCAAGGTATGATATCCAGTTGCATGATCATAGCTTTATGTGATATGGAGTAATTCCTGATGCGTGGCAATGATGACATGAAAAAGTTGGGGATTTCTTTGAATTCAGCCAGCGCTAATTTTTTGCTTAGTGGCTACACTTTAAACACACAGAAAAATTCTAGAATATATATATAATACCTACTTGTTTTATTTGCCAGGTGAAAGAGGCAAATAAATGAGATGGACAAATGAGATGATAACTATGTTTATTATGGGGTCTCTTGTGACATGATGAAAGGAGAAACTTATCAAATATAATGTGAACAAGGCAAATTAATACTATCAAACCCCTAATAAAATCTTGTGCATTAGAAATAGCAAACATAGCAATGGAATCTAATATATATAAAAGATTCACAGAATTTCACTTCTAAAAATGACAGACTAGATAATTCAGATGAAAATCACTAAAAAACCTAGAAAAATATTTTCAATAAAAATGTGTTTTAAAACATTGTAAAGTTGAAAAGCTGTAAGAAAACATGAGAACAAGATTCAGGAAAAGAAAGAAACTCAGAGGGACCAACACATCTTTAGAACCACTTTTCACTTGAAATATCAGCTTATTTCGGTAAAAGCAGCTGAGACACTGAAAAGCTGAACAGAGTTTTTAATAGATTTATGAAGTTAAATGGGAAAAAAATTAAGTTGAGTCTTCCAAGTTAAGGGTCTCTGATTCATCACCCACTTGGCCTTTGGTCTGGAATCCTGAACGGCTATACACTAGCAGTAAAGGTGAACAAGAAATACTTGAAACCTGAAACTGAAATTTAACTTTTAAATTTCTCAACAAAAAATAAGGTAATCCAAGATTGCTACTGGCCCTAGTCTATGACAAAAATCAAATGTATATATTCTCAGACATAATAATGCCCTAGGCTATCAACCATCTATTGGAATTTTCTTTGCAGAAAATAAAATAGATTTTCTGTCATCAAACAAAAATAACTGGACAATCAAAAATAATTAGCAGACAAAAACAATGTGATCAAAATCCAAGAAAAATAAGAGATAAGAGATAATAGAGGCAGACCCATAGAAGAGGAGATACTAGAATGCAGATAAATAGATTGAGGATTTTGGCAATCTTAGAGCTACAAAATTAAAAACAATCAAATAAAAATTGTAGAAGTGAAATATGCAATAACTAAAAATGGAAATCAGTCGGTGAATTTATTAGGTTTAACTCTGAGGACAGATTAAGTTACTAAATAAGAAGTCAGAAGAAAATACTCAGAATAAAGAAAAAAGAAATACAGAATTTAAAAAAAAAATGAAAGAAATAAGCATAAGAGACAAAGGGAATAGAATGAAAAGTTCAACATTACATGAAATTTGAAGACCTAAAAGAAGAGACAGAGAATAAGGCAAAATCAATTTCTGAAGAGATAATGGCACTATAAGCATCAAGCAACAAATTAAAAAACCCCAACTAAACTCATCACAGCAAAACTACAGAAAACCAAAGACTCAGAAGAAAAACTCAAAAGCAATTAGACAAAAATATATATATCTATATATCTATATATAGATATATATATATCACCTTCAAAAAAAAATTTTGGTAAGACTAACAGCTGATTTCTCATAAGAAACAATGGAACCCAAACCCAAAGGATTATGTGATATTTTCAAAGTACAGAATGGAGTAGGGGCAGGGGGGGAACCTGACTAGAATTTTATATCCTGTTCAAATTTCTTTCAACAAAGAAAGTGAAATAAAGACATTTTCAGACACATACAAAAACAGTCATCCAAAAACTCACGCTAAAGGAAATTCTAAATGGGGTATTTTCAGGCATATGTACACTCACCCTAAAGAAAATTTTTAAATATATTCTTTAGACAGATATAGAATCTGAAAGATGTAGAAAGGAATAAAAACAAAGAACAGTAAATACAAGAGTAAATCTAAGTAAACAATTACTGTATAAAATAATAAAGTGATGTCTTCTGTGGCTCTATTAAATATAAAATGAAAATACATGACGATAATGTAATAAAAGTGGAAAGTGGAGTTAATAGAGTTAGGGTACTAAGATCCTTGCACTTTCTTGAAAGAACTAAGTGTCTTACTTTATATGAGGTTTGATAAATCAAGGATACATATTTTAATCCCTAGGTTGATCATTAAAGGAATAAAAAAATAAGGTTTAATTAGAAAGCTAATAGATGTGGAATATAGAAAAACAAAAACTGTCTACGGCCACACCACCCTGAACGCGCCCGATCTCGTCTGATCTCGGAAGCTAAGCAGGGTCGGGCCTGGTTAGTACTTGGAAGGGAGAAAAACAAAAACTAATAAAACCAAAGGACAGGCTGAGTGTGGTGGCTCACGCCTGTAACCCTAGCACTCTGGAAGGCCGAGGCAGACAGATGATTTCAGCTCAAGAGTTGGAGACCAGCCTGAGCAAGAGCAAGACCCCGTCTCCACTAAAAAAAAAAAAAGAACCAAATTAGCTGGACAACTAAAAATATATAGAAAAAATTAGCCATGCATGGTGGCTCATGCCTGTAGTCACAGCCACTCGGGAGGCTGAGGCAGGAGGATTGCTTGAGCCCAGGAGTTTGAGGTTGCTGTGAGGTAGGTAGACACCACAGCACTCTTGCCCAGGCAAC